TTTTAGAGCACTCAGGTTAAAATGGCAGAGAAAGAGGGTATGTTGCAGCATGTGGCTTGTATATGAGTTTGACTTTGCCTTACGTTTGTTATAATGCTGTATTTGCCATTTTCTATTCATTCGTAATTCAGTCACATTCTTTATTTGCTTTAGGTTGTGGCAAATACTCTGCTTTCAGGCCACAGAGCAATTCYTTGCAGCCGAGATCACTAATTGTACCCCAAAGCATCTCTTGAGTATGACCCTGCCAGCAAAGATGGAGCCCATGATAATTTTCTGTTTTTTTTTTTCATTTTTTTCTTTGTACAAATAGAAATTTCCTGATGTTAGAAGGTTAGTGTTTTAAATTAAGCCTTCATATTTATTGATTCTTATTCCATCATGTTCCACTCGACTTCTGTGGTATTTGCCCTAGCTCTAAGGACCACCCACTTGTTTTAAGCCAGCTGTCAAAATAACATTCGGTAAGAGGATTGGGATCAGCTACGCAGGGTGCAGCTCTGTAAATGGTTAAGCAGAGAGCGCGGATTCAGCAGACCTGTATTTTCTTGCTGACTTTACCTCCACAAGGATAGTTAACCCCATTTTTACATGACTAACCTTTAAATGTGGATCAATTCAGTTCCCCTCGCTATCAAGAAACTCTTGATATGAGCTAAGTAGTGAAAATGACAGTGCTTTCCTACTGTGAGTTAGGCTGTCTGGCATTTGAATAATTTCTGGAAACACTCACTCTCGGCCTCTTAGCAAAGACCAGCTTTATCTGAACTCTTGTGCTCTATCAGGCAGTGAGGAAGTCTCCTCTCCTTTGCTAGCTTGACTTTGTAACTAAGACATGGGAAATATCCTTTGCCCTGAAAAAGGGACAGGCTTATTTAGGAGTAAGCACTTTGCCAGTTGCTATCTCGTATTTGTCAGAAATCTGGTGTTTGCAACTAGTTTGGAGATGTCAAAAGCGGCTGAACGCTCCCTTGGTCACCAAGCATGCGTAAATGCCACCTCTTGATCAGTGCTCTTGAAAATGTTGTTTGACTGAGGGAAAATTGAGTTGGCCAGGAGAAAAAATTGAGATTTCCAGTTGACCCCAAATCAAATGAAATTTTGCTGTTCCTTTTTACTCTCATGTCTGTTTTCTCCATCTGGATTTTATGTTCTTCCTGAAGAATGCCATTTTTCATTGAGTAATGGTAGGAACTGAGTGATCCCAGTGGGATAAAAGCAGTATCAACCAACTGATCTTTGTTGACTGCAGGCAGGTAGGTTTCCAGTGCAGACTTTCTAACTGGATCCAGTTGGAAACCACCGGGAAGAGCAGCTGCCGCTCTCTTGCATTGAAAGGTCTGGAGACAGACTAAAAGACCTGATAAATGAAAAGCCTAGAAATGTTTTGAAGCAATGAAATAATCTACCTCAAYCAATTGGCCCAGTTCAGCCTGGGTTATCAACAGGTTTGCCTGTAAGCAGTAGCAACAGGCTTTTCCTTTGTGAAGGGAAAATGCACTACGCTGGAATGGGATTTTAGGCTGAGTGAGACTCTACCCTTCAGTGCAGCCCTTGCTCCAAATCAAGCCTTACATGTTTATTTTTGTTTGCTTAAGTCATTGCCCAACCAGGAAGAGCGAGGAAGACTTGTTTGCTTTCATTTAAAAGGAAGTTTATTCATGTAAGATGCAAGTAAAATGCACCCCGGCTCAAGGCTTCCAGATGGTGAGAACTGCAGCATTTGGAAACCTGCAGCGTTTGCCTCGAATATTTTAGGAAAGTTTATTTAGCTGGTAAAGAATTACTCTGTGCTGAAATAAACATCTACAGATAACTTTATTTTGAGAGCCTCCCTTGCTACACAGCAGCCCTCAGTATCCACTGCTGAGATTTGAAAAGGAGAAGATGAAGAGGAGGAGGAGGAGGAAGAAGAAAAGGAAGGGGCTATTAGCTCTAAACTCAGCTAGCATGAGAGATGGTAGCAGTGCAAGGAAGGAGGGAGTGCACAGCAAGTGATGGGAGGGAGCTGTAGCAGCCCAACACAATTTCATCTAGGCTTCTTCTTCTGTGTTCAGTTCTGGGCACCCCAGTATAGGAAGGGCGTGGAGCTTCTCGAGAGGGTCCAGAGAAGGGCAACCAGGATGATCAAGGGAATGGAACATCTCTCATATGAAGAGAGGCTGAGTGAGCTGGGCCTGTTTTCTCTGGAGAAGAGACGGCTCAGAGGGGATATGATTAATATGTATAAGTTCAGGAAGGGAGAATGCAGGGAGGAAGGGGACAGGCTGTTCTCACTGGTGGCCAGCGATAGGACGAGGGGTAATGGCCACAAGCTGAAACACAAGAAGTTCCGTCTCCAGGTGAGGAGCAACTTCTTTACTGTTAGGGTGACAGAGCAGTGGAACAGGCTGCCCAGGGAGGTTGTGGAGTCTCCTACTCTGGAGGTCTTCAAAACCCGCCTGGATGCCACCCTGTGCCACATGCTCTAGRTGTGCCTGCTTGAGCAGGAAGGTTGGACTAGATGATCTSTAGAGGTCCCTTCCAACCTTAAATATTCTGTGAATTCTGTGAATTCTGTGAATTCTGTGAATAACTGACCCTGAGTTAAACCCTATTGTCCTCTCTTCTCATGGGAGTCTCCAGACAATTGCTGTATTTTTGAGCTTGTTACATCCTTCCATCTTTCTGTCGTCTTTTATGGAGCGCATGCTGCTTGCAGGTGATGTTTTCTTTCATCTATCTACCTGAGAGATGCTGTATTTTTAACCAGTCTTCTCTTACTGGCAAAAATTYTGGCAGCCTGAAACCAAGCAGCTGCATATGATGAGAATTGCTGTGGGAATCCTTTGTATTGGTGAGACTGTTGTATTCATGCGTGCAGAGCCTGAAGGAGYTAACTTTTTCTTCTCTCTTTGATGCTTTCTTGGCAGTCTGGTTTTACCTAAATAAAACTTCTTTTGCACTTGCCTACTTCTGTTGCATTTGGCACAATCTTATACAAACAGTCTGTCTGTAAAACCTTAATGTCCCTGATTTAGCCAGTAATTATTACTGGTGTATTTTTCTTGCGAATATTGTCAAAATGTAAGTGAGCCAGGTGTGTGCTTCGTAGCCTTCTGAGTCTTTAAGTGACTTTGATTGTAGTACATGTCTATACAAATGTACCTCAAGAGACCAGCATTTGCTGGTATGTTGTGCTGATTAAATTAGAGGTGTTGGAATTTGTCAGAATGCAGCCATTTCCCGAGACCCTGAGAAACCTCCTCTTCTAAAGGAAAACGTTTATACAACTTTGCATTGGTCACCAAGTACAGAAGAGTTTTGTTTTTCAATGCCTAGAGATCCGCCAGCAGCAGTGCTTTGTTATGTCCTCAGAAGTGTTAACTCTGCGGTCTGTTTATTGCAGGAGCAAGGGTGAGGATGAGCACGCAGGGTATTTTCGTATGTGCAGTGAATGGCTCAAAGCCTGAGCACTGCTGATGCTGGGGCTCCTGGAGGAAACGAGGCGCTTGCTCTGCTTGGCAGAGGACTCTGCTCCTGCAGACTCCAGCAGCAGCCCAGGCAGATGCTCCCCTGTTGGCCTTCGCTCATCGCTTTATCCCAGATCTTCTCTGCAGGTTATCTTCTCTGCTGGGCTTTCAAGAAGGTGCCAGAGAATTCCCTASGGCTTAGAGAAAGCAAATGTTGCAGCTGGCCTGCTCTGTGCCAGAAACTAAGCCAGGCCTCTTAGTCCCAGCGTCACAGGCTGAGTTTTTGGTGTGAGGTTTTTAACATTTAAAGGAAACAGTTGTTTAAAATATGAACTCTTAAATACAGTGGTTGGTGTGTCTGTGTGATTTGTTACACTGCCTCAAGATTCTATGGAAAAAAATGTTTATCAGTGWTACCTCATGATAAAAATGAATATTTCTTGTATAAGACTAGAAAACGTCCCTGGAATACTGTGTTTTATAGTTTTAGGTCTAGTCATGAAATTCTAAACTCTTTATAAACAATTTAATAATAATGGAAAGTGTTTTGTCTATAATTTGCTTTTTTACCCTATTTCCACTGAGATCAACTTGATATGCAGAGCTGTTTCCTGTTAGGACTGTGGGGAGTAACATGCCCTCCTATATTGTGTTCATGTCTTTAAACTCACCTGAGTAGGCACCATATGCATCATGGTGATACAGACTTTTCCATTTTCAAAAGTTTTTTCTTTGTCTTTGCTTGTCCTAATGCAAGTCGACAGCACATGTATGGGACCGGAGGTGCCAAAGACTTCAAAGATGAACCTTCAGCTGTAAAAAAGGCTTAAAGACAGGAGAGCTTCATGGGTCTGTTCTGTAATTAAACCTTTAGTAATTGGTGCTTTTGTGTGGGTCCTGCTCTGGTGTAACCTGTACAATTTTGTGCTGTTCAAACAAGCAGATGCTTGCAGTGAAAAGCCAGAGCTAAACCTGAAAAACACACATCTCTAGCACAGTCTCACAAATATCCAGTAGCTTTGGTTCCTCCTGGGGATATTCACAAACACTGATTTTTCTATCTACGATGAAGAAAGATTGGCTCTGTAAASAACATTTCAGAAGCAGAAATTGTTGTAGGTTAATTTAGAAATCAAATGTAGAAACCTTCAGAGAAACCAGATTTTTGTCCATAGAGAGAGGGAGATCAGGCTGAGTAAACCAACTAAGCCCAAGTCAGTCTTTGTGAATGTTCCTTTCTTAATTCCCCAAGCTCTGGCTTTCTCTAGGGATATATTACATCTCTAGGGCCSTTGGTTTAGAAATAGGGTGAAACTAGAAGCACATAAGGTATATGGGATCACTTAGGGAAACAGCAACCTGTGTAAAAAGTAAGAATATAAAAACTTTTTGAATTTGCCTTCTCACTTTCAGAGCTATTTTCTTTGTGGGAGGTGGTGGAGGGGTGCCAGAAGATCTAAGGGCAAGGAGGAGAGAACTTGCCAGCACTTTGTGAATGAAGGAGAAATGAAGTCTTAATAAAAGTGACATACGGATTTTATTTTCCAGTTTTCACCTGGCAGCCACCAAAGGGCATGCAGAATGCCTCAGGATCATGGTGACACACGGTGCCGACGTGACAGCCCAGGACGGGGCAGGTACGTCTCTCTGGACCTCTCCACACGTGTAACACGGTACAAATGAGCCTGTCTAGCTCCTGGTTGTGCAGATAACAGCACTGCTTCTTCCTTCCCCGCGTAGGAAGAGCAGCTGTACCGTTTGCAGGTGCAGATGTACCTGGTTTATCCCAGTGAAGACTGCAGGTCCTAAGCCCTTGCAAACTTTTGCCTTAACAGTATAAATGTCAGCATTGCACTGGAGACCAGTTGCGAAATAGTCACTTGATTATTCTACATTAAAAATATTTTTGTTAATTTCATTTGGGACTTTGCATAGATTAAATCAAGACCTTAATGTGTTGCTTTTATGTATATCCAAGCTATTAACCCCATTAACTGTACAGGAATTGCAAGAAGATGTTTCCCCGGGATTATGACATAGTGAAAAGAGCTGATACAGGGCAAAGTAGAGCTAAGAGCTTTTAAGTGTGCAGTTCCAGCCCTCAGAAGCCCTATGCCTTAATTACTACTCCATTAGGAGAATGATAGATGCCGTTTTTGAYAGACTAGTCTTACTAGATTTCAGTTGACACATCTGTAGAAACCCTACCTGTGTTTGCTCAGGTGAGCTCAGTCACCTTATCAGCATCCTGTCTCTGCTAATGAGGTGTAAATGTTGGGTTTACTGCATCTCTTTTGGCCACCATGGCTGCTTTGAGGAATTGCCTTCACAGAGTGAAAGGATTTGCCTCCACACAGAATGCTTGCGATGCTAGAAGAATTATTCAGAATCTACATATAATGATAAGAGAATATATGCACTTTGTTATAGACTATTAAACAGAGTTCATACTTAATTTTGCCTCAGGTTTTGTTAGTTCTTTGTTGAGATAATAACAGGTTGCCATCTCTTTCCTGGAAGTGCCACCCCAGTGTTTCGTTCCTTAGGAAAAGCCTTTTCTGTAATAGTCCCATCATTTTCTATACAATTCTACTGTCACAAGTGGCTCTGCTGCCTGTATCAAGTACTAAACCTTGGCTTCTTCTTTCTTCCCTTCATGGATAATCTATTCTTTTGTTGTCTTGGCCTCTTTAACAGTTGCTCTGTAGAGGAAACTAGAAGAGATATCACAATATTTCATCATAAATCCATAGTCARTAAATCGCTATACTACATAGCAATATATAATACTAGGAGCTCACAAGAGTAGAGTAAATTGACAGAAAAGGGAGTCTGCAAGATGTGCTCTTGTGTATGCAGTCCATGGAAAGTTTGTTGTGGGGCTAGCTAGCAAATTTGGCTATTCCTGCTTTTACCACTGTGGGKTTTTTCATTTTAAAATGGCAGAAATCATGAAGACACTTGGCAAATATCTCCCTCCGAGGAGTAAAGAATAGAGAAAAAGTGTTCTTCGAAGAAGCAAAATGTACAGCATCTCTCCACACAGAAACATGTAGTTTTCATCAGAAACAAAAACACAGTATTAGACTGATGGCTGGTCAAGGTAGTTCAGCCCAGGGTTTGTGCRGTTCTTATGTGTGAATTCAGACATTAAGATCGTTCTGTGGCACCTGCTGGAACAGCAGTTGGTTGATACTCTGTTTGATGTAGCACCCTATTTTATCTATCTTTGCTTTTCTCGTGCTTTGATAGGAACAATATAGACAAAATTTCACCCTTGTCACAGAAGAGTTTATGTGGTTTGGAGTGATTGAATGCTTGTTTTGCTTTGTTTTTATTAACTTAGGGCACAGCGCTTTACATCTTGCAGCAAAGAACAGTCACCCTGATTGTGTTAAGCGGCTTCTTCAGGTAAAGTAGAAGTTAAATTCATTTTTATCTTGAAAATTTTCTTCAATTCCTCTTAAAATATATATTTTCTCCTAATAATCTAAACAACAGTCCTATTTGTTGCTCCCTTTCTCCTTTACAATTAAGAAAGGTGCTTGCTTTTAAGATCTTCATGACACTGTGTGAAWGGGGGACAGAGAGCAGTGTGGTGTCTTCACTGAGTGGTCCGCAACTTCATTTTTCCCTCTGATCTGACATAGCGGGGTTGGATTCAAGCAGCTCCTGTCTAATTTCCTATCTTTTGTCTGTGTGGTTGGATGCTTTGGGAGCAAGTGGGTTAAGAAGTATATGAGGAAACCATTTCTCATTTGTATTGGGGCTTTGGCATTGATCTACTGGAATGTTTTCTGCCTGTTATCTTAAAAGAATCAATTCTTGACTATAGAAGTGTCTTTCATGTTCAGAGTCAGAGAGAGAAGAAACTGAAGTAGCTGAGATGATAAAATATGGAAAATACCATATCTGCTTGAATACTCAGTGAAGTGAGGCAAGGGGCAGTGAGAGCTTAGAAGGAGAGTAGAAAGGATGGAAAAGGAAAAGAAAAATAAAGAGGAGATGGAGAGAAGATTTCAGTGACAGTGAGGCTGAAAATGTACACTAGCAAACAAGCAGAGATACTGTCCATCTGAGACAATCTCTCTTCCCTTTCAGACAACCAGGTGAGTTTTGGTGATGCAGGTCATCAAGGCAATGGAGTTTGGAGTTATTCATGAGACTGTGGACAAACTAAAGAACACACAAAATAGCACTACCATTGAGCACAGTGATAAAGAGAATGGTTCCTATATCTTAACCTGCAAGTTCCTATTTTCCAGTGACTGCAGGGCTCTCTGCGCTCTCCTGTAACCTGTGTCAAGGTCTCTGACCATGCAGGGTCCAGTCTTTTCCCTGCAGACTCACTGTGAGCTGCCTCCCTTTTCCTGCACCCTTGGAAGGGGGTCATTATTTACCACTAGGACTCCCCTCCTTGCACTTTCTTAATAAAAATGCAACAGTTCTAAACCTAAATGGGTTTCATTTACAGCATAAACAGTGACATCAAGCTGTCGCTGACTGTATCGCAAGCAGCAGCAGCATCAACTCTTTGTGCAGCTAATGTGAATATGTGCTTTTAATGCCAAGTGTTTGTTATCCATTCACTTAACAGCTACAAATATTTTGTTGATTTCATTGAAAATATATTTAGAAATGTTCATGTTTTTGTGCCAAACAATTGGTAAGAGTCTCCAATGTATTCATACCCTTTGCATCAATTATCACTTCTGTGGATTGGCTTTATGTGATGTAAGCTGTTTATATGTGTGAGGAATGTCTAAGTTTAAGATGATAAAACTGAACTTAAAAAGGCTCTATTATTATATAGGCAGAATATTGTCATTTTTGTATAAAGTATGATAATATTCTTGAACCACGTTACCTAGAAATTTTACAAGAGTAAGTGCTGCATATGAAAGCACAAACTCCAATATTTGTCTTCTAGAAAGCTTTTATTTCAGGATGATGTCTTTTTTATTTACTGGAAGCTGAAACTAAAAATCTTCTTTACCAACGCAAGTCTTGATAAAGATTAATAATTGGGTATTTTTGTATTATTTCAAATTCTAGATTGGTTATTGGCATCTGTTAGCTAAAAAATACTGSAAAGTATAACTGAGTTATAGAGGCATTAGTTTTACAAATGAAACGTTATTTCCTGTGACAAAAGCTTGAACTAGCTCAGACTAATTGCCTTAGAGCGTGGTTGGGTCTTATTGTAATGTAAAACATGAAGCTTTTCTGGAGGAGATTCTTTACTTTATGATTTCCCAATATAAAATGTCCTAAAACTTATTATAACTTTTTTTTTTTTTTTTTTAAGAATATCTTCCTCTTTAAGAGATCTTTCTATAAGTTCAGTATAAGCTGTTACCAAGACAGGAGAGACGAGACTGGTGGAGAGGAAAAATGTTCCTATTATCAGTATTTTGTTTCACTGTTTTTTTTTTCTGAAGTAGCTTAGAGAACTGTTGTCAAACACGTTCAGCATTCTGTCCTTAACAGCAAATATATGTTTTATTCTCTTGGTGATTCTCTAATTCCTTTTTTTTTCTTCTTCTTTCCGTACTCTGTAGTGTAAATGCCCAGCGGACAGCACTGACAATGCTGGGAAAACAGCTTTACATTATGCAGGTAACTTCTTTATTGAAAGCTTGTGTTATGTGTTTTGGTATTTGCTGTATCCAGCTCTTCAGCCCCTGGTTGCTTTCTGGGTTCTAATTGTATAAATCTGGCAAATCACCTCCTGCTGATTGGAAAAACAGTTGACACCATGGCAAGCTATGTTAAAGATGAATTTATTGCTAGTCTGTCATGCCTTGTTCACCTTTTTAAATTTAAGATATCCTTGACTAATGAAAAAGGAGCTGTGATGCATGTCCCTTCTGATAACTAACAATTTTCAGATATTGTCTAGATAAGCACTGTGAATATGAATTTTGAGATAACATACAGTTCACTCTTGCACATGCAGAGCAGTTGGTGTACTTAGGATTAAATTGATTTTACAGCATTAAGTTTCATGGTTTGAAACAACATTAAAGGATATGAGCTTTATTTTTGCATAAAGCTTGCTGTTAATCCTCTTAGTCTTTCTCTTCTTTCTTAAAAACAGAGGAATGTATTGGAATGTTTTCCTCATACCCTTCTCTAACGCTGCAATACTGCAAGCTGGAAGCATTGAACGCGGATTTCAAAAATGTGATTTAACGGACTTTCATGTTTGTGATTTTTTTTTTKTTGTTTTTAGCTGCATGTGGTTGTCTTCAGGTAGTTCAACTTCTGTGTGAGCACAAATGTCCAGTTAACGTCAAAGACTTGGTATGTCCATCTCCCATTGCAGTTTAAAGCAGTTTTACCACCCCCAACTCATGTCAGTCCCAGATACAGCTGTTCCAAGCAGYACTACTCTTGTATTTTATCTTGGATTTCTCTGCCAGGGAAGATTTCCTTTTGTGGCTTGCCATAGCAGAGATGCAGAAGCATATTGCCCTCTAATACGATAAAGGCAGGATTTGTTGTTCAGTAATTGAGGGGTTGGTACAAGTAGCTAGAATCCATTCTTCTATATTCAAAATCTATTATACATTTAGATAAAAGCCTTCCCATTGACTTCACTGGCTTTGGAGAAGGTCCATTATGTGGCCAAGTCCTGTGAATTGCTGATAAAGCTCAGCCAAAATATGATAGATCTAAGCGAAAAAATATATTTGATGTAAGCTAGCAGATCAAAGTCATCACATTGAGCATTATGAAGTGTCAACAAACAGTCAGGTCTATCTTGGGGAATTATGCAATTTCCTGTTATAAAATGCCCTGAAGATAATGGGAGGGGACCTGACAGATTTCAGGCGAAATACTGTGCATTAAAAACAGCTTCAGCTTTTTTTTTTTTTTTTTTTTTTTTTTTTTTTAAATCTGATCTATCTCATTTCTACCTGACATTTCTGATAAAGGATCTGTCACAAAGTATAAACTTAAAAATACATCATGGATGGTTAAAGGGAAGGTGAAGCAAGACCCCCTTTGAAAGTGTACAGAGAAAGGATGACAAGCAACAATTGCAAGTTGGGCAGTGGACCAAACTGGGAAGTTCCAGATTGGTCGTAGGAAAGATTTCTCACCATGAAGGTGGTTACCCATTGGAACTGGGACCCCAAGGGGTCAGGGCATCTCTGTGCTTAGAGTTGCTTAAAACTTGACTTACTGAAGTCCTGAACAAAATAAACCAACTTGAAGCTTGTCATCCTTCAAGTTGATGGGCACACCCCAGAGTGACCTCTCTTGGTGTCTTCCAAACTATAGCTATTCTGTGATTCTATGAGATATTGTATTTTTGTCTTGTGCTCAATTAAAATTCTSAGTTTTGTTGTGAAGCTATTTGAAGGCATTGCAGTTGCAAAAGTCATCATTTTATAGCTTTAAGCGAATAACAAAAGATTTACAAAGATCAAAAGTATTTCTTTTCTTGGTACTGTGATGTGTGATACCATCCTCAACATTGCAACAGGGAGTTAAAAGGAAGTCCAGCTACATTTATGCTGCACAAGAAAAATATAGTAATAGTGTCTCGCTGTGTAGAGGGAAAGTTCATAGCAGAAATTTCAATCTTATAGTGATATTTGTAAGTGAATGGATTGGAGTTCATAGTTGCTCTATTATGTATTCTTAGGATGGGAACATACCTTTGCTGCTTGCAGTACAAAATGGTCACACAGAAATCTGCAAATACCTTGTGGATCATGGAGCAGATGTCAACACTAGGGACAAAAATGGAAGGTATGGCAGACATCTCCAGGTCAACTCTTTCCCAACACTGACTCTCAAATGAACCTTTCTCCCTGAATCCTTCCCAAGCTGTTGTTGTGTGAATTCATGCCTCCTGTATCAGAGAACATACCCTGATTATTGAGACTTCACAGAGTTCTGACTAAAGGGAAATGTGAAAAAGAAACTAGATAACTAGAATTAGATGTGTTGTAAGAATTTCCTTGGGCTACCAGGGCAGTGTAAACACCATTTGTAAATCCTTCATTCAGGAATCTGGTTGTTAGCACTTACATGCACATGACGTTGTAAATGTCCCAATTTTAAATGCTGCTCTGTTCTTGACATGCAATAGTGTCTCTAACATTAATCCTRAAGATGTATTACTTGAGAGCAACAGCCATGGGGGCTCTTTACTGTAATGCTGCTGCAGTTGCAAGATAGCAGCAGGAAAAAGTACAATGCAACTTTGAGAGTGGAGATGCCATCTTCTCAGAGGGGGAACATATACAGATGACTTGCATCAGTAGACATCTAACACATCATAGTATTTTGTTCAGGAACACCCTGTAGTGAAATAAATGCACTTGTTYTGATGATGATGGTAAAGACCAAATTCAACAGTCTTTGAAAATTCTGGCCTTTTATGAACAGTTACTAAAACTGCAAAAGTAAAGCAAATTGCTGAGATAACTTGGCACTTACAAGCGATTGCAATCTTGATTGCTATATAAGATACAATGGCCATATTGTTCTTTGGCAACACCTAGGCTAGTAGGATTGAGCCTTAACTTGGATTATATCAGTCCAAAGTTTATTAGAGCGGTCTTTCTTTTAAACTTTCTAAAGGAAACCCTTTTATCCCCCTGGTTGCTTTGAACTGCCTCTTCCATGCTTTGAACTTAAGGCGCTGGCCACTCCAGGACCCCTGCCTTCCTGTCACTAATTAGTGTTTAATCAACAGCGTTAAGATGTTGCTAGCTTGAATGAAAACCTTTCTGTCATAGATACGACAGTACTGGGAGTTCTTCTTTTTAGTGCTATGTATAGAAGCAAAGAAAACRATACAACATGGAATTTACCTTTTCCCCTGTCCTTCTGCTAAGGAGATTAGCCTTGCATCTCCTGTTCACACTGTTGTTCATGTTTTTGAGTGGAAGAAGCTCTAATGGGAGGAATGTTGAAAATGGCATGTCCAACTTCCTGTCTTGTTCAAACAACACTAATTATTTTGGTCATCTGAAAGCGTGCCTATGACCGTGCCAATGTTGTCCAGGTTTTCRCTTGCACTACTTTTTAGCACAGCAGTACAACAGGCATCACCTGCACAGGCCTTGCTGCTTGGTCACACTTAGCATGGGTGTTTAATTTATCAGGGRAACGGTTGTCCTGATGCCTTGCAAGCCGTACCACTATAGTAGCCTTTCTGTTTTTTAACTGTGCTGAGGAATGGGTTTGCCAGTGGACTTGTCCAAACTATTGGCATGTTTTCAGGTTGAGATGAGGCTGTCAGTGCCASACAGGGATGCTAGAGCAGGCTTGGGAGGTAGAATCTTCTGTTTGTTTATAATTGTATCTCTGAGAATCACTGCAAGCCACTTACCAATACACAGATAATGTAGCGTTCCCTCTCTGCAGACTGCCCTAATTCTGGGACCCGCCACAGCTTCCCTGTACTGGAGCTGGGGAACACGTTTTCAGAGATGTTGGGATATGGCTGTAAAACATGGCAGGTCATTATGGAAGGTCAGGCCGGGAAGCATAGGGAAGGGGAGGAGGTGCAGAGCAGGTGGTTGTAAGGAGAAATTACAGTTACAGGTATTTGTCAGTATATACGTGGATTAAAAAAAAATGGATTTAATTGCTCAGTAACTGTAGTACTTTTCCCAAAAAGGAAAGATCTACTGCTTAAAAAACACTGTCTTAACATTTTTATGCTGTGTTTGTTTTGTCCAGAACTGCTTTGATGGTGGCTTGTGAAGCTGGTAGCCTTAACATTGTGGAAACCTTGCTTAGAAAAGGTGCAGATGTCAGTTTAGTAGATGTCTTTGGACAGAATGCCCTACATTACTCCAAACTCTCCGAGAATACAGGGATCCAGARTCTCCTGTCATCAAAGATCTCTCAGGATGCGGGTATGTAAGAGATGGTGATCTGCAGTTTATCACTTTGAATTGGCTAGCTGTATGTTTAGCAGTAAGCAAATTTACTTTRTAAAGCAGCTTGAAAAATATTTCAGAAGCCATGAAGAGCTTACATAGTAACAACTAGCATTGTTAATAAAGAGCTGAGCAGGGCAGAAAGAGGTATTTTGGAGAAAGAAAAAGTAAGATGAAGTAGTAGGATAGCTAAAGAAGTCTTGCTTGCAATTTGGAATAGATCCTCTGTTGTTATGTGAAGGTCTAAAGGCAACATTTTAGCTTCTTGGTAGGAGATTTAGAGAAGAAAGAAATGTAGAGGGACAGCTTCATGGTCAARCAAAAAAGATCATCCAAAGCAGGAGCCTAATGTGAAAAATTGCTGATAGACCATAGCAGAGGCAGAAGTGTCACAATCTCAATATGAAACAAAAAAGAATTGTAGAAAGTAAGTAGTTCAGATAGGATGTGAAAATWAATGTATGTTGCTCAGATTTCCAAGAGGAATTCAAAAACCAAACAAAGCATTTATGGTGTGGGAAGTGGAGCTGGGAGTTCAGTTAGGAATGGCAGCTAACTTTTTTCTTGATAGCCGTTCTTAACACCACTTCTTTTCTGTATTACAGATAYAAAGTCACCAACTAAAGCAAAGCAGGTATTTGTCCTTTTCTGTTTAAAAATCTGACTATATATGGGCTTGTAACTTGCTGAGAAACTGGTATTTGTCATGCCTACAAACACTAGTGAATGCCACAGTGAGATGTGCTACCAGGAGCTGTATTTTGCAATGTGAAAGGTTTTTGTTTTCACTTAAGAAATAAGTATCATAAACATCACTTTTAAATTTAACTTCCTGCTGTAATAGCCAGCAGTGACAGCAGCCCCCAAGGTGAGAACAGGAAGAGTGGATAAACTGTGTGTGTGTATGCATGTGCACATGGATGTGGGGAGGAATTTCCYCCATTTTTTTGTGAGTAACTGCAGGAATTTGGCTCTAGGACTCCCTAGGAAAAGTCTCCGCACTTCCAAAGGGGATAACTCCTCCAGGTGAGGAGCAACTTCTTTACTGTTAGGGTRACAGAGCAGTGGAACAGGCTGCCCAGGGAGGTTGTGGAGTCTCCTACTCTGGAGGTCTTCAAAACCCGCCTGGATGCCRCCCTGTGCCACATGCTCTAGGTGTGCCTGCTTGAGCAGGAAGGTTGGACTAGATGATCTGTAGAGGTCCCTTCCAACCTTAAATATTCTGTAAATTCTGTAAATATTCTATATTTATCTCCAGTTACATCTTCCTAGAGACCCACATTTGTGAGAATCTGTGCAGGTTTAGCCAGCTAAATAGATGTCTCGACATGTGTCTTTCCTGTCCCATCTAGTGGTGTGGTATCTTGGAGCACAGATACCACCTGTCCCGCTGGTAGCAGCGCAGAGAGTCATTCCTCCTTTGGGTGGAGAAGTGGGTTTTTCAGGCAGACTAAGCAGAAGTTGAGGGAAAGAGAGTACCATTAACATTGGCATGACTGGGCTATGAAAGAATGGAAGAATTTAAGGTCACTCGTGCTAAACCGATGGTCGGCTTGTGCTTTTTTCACTAAATCTTGTTTGTTTTCACTGAAGCATGTATTCCAAGGGGCAGAGTCTCATTGTCAGGCATGTTTAATATCTCTGTTTTAGTTGAGATACAGTCTTTACATAGGGGAAGAGAAAAGTGAGACACTGCATGAGCTACTAGGATTGATATTAATGTGGGATTTTATCTATACTTTTTTTTTTTCATAAAACAACTTGCTYGGACTTTACTAACCAAACTAACAAACCTACCTTCTGTGGCTGGTGAAACTTTCAGCATGATCAAGGCTCTAAATTAAGTTCAGAAAGAAGTGGAACTCCAAAAAAACGCAAAGCCCCACCTCCTCCTATCAGTCCTGTTCAGGTAAAGAAAAAAACAATTTTGAGATGCTTTTAGGGGTAAGAAATATTGTGAGCGTTATGTGAATGATGTAGCCTGCATTGCTCTATCATTATCCTGTTCTACACCTATCCTGATGTGTTTTCTCTGACTTTGGGATGACACCATAAAGACASTCATTGGTTAGAGTGAAAATTGCTTGAAATATGGTAGCATCTAAAATACAGCATATAAATTACTGTATAGATGCATCTTCCATTGAAAGTTAAAGGTCTCTTGGTTTTGCTGACTCCCATAAGTAAATATGTGTCATTTAAATATACATATGTATACACATGTACATTATGTACATGTGTATAAATATATAAGAAAATAAAATACATGAAGAGATACAGTATAAAAATGAGCATAACAAATGTGTTTAAGGTTAAACATAATGTTACCCATATAACAGTTACACTGTATGTACTACTGGCTCAGAAGAGCACTGAATAATTAGACCTGCTCTTTGATACTAACCCAGAGTTGTGACTTATTGTAGCACAAGGAAAAGTAGTATATATGTGCACATATGTCAGCAGTAGTTACATGTGCACACATGATACATACATATACTTATTTATATAAAATCTTTTACAGCTTAGTGATTTGTCCTCCCCACGCTCATCAACTTCAACTCCCATGACTGGAAAAGGACAGACTTTCTTTGCTGACCAAGTATACAAGGTATTCCAGGTGTTCCTGGAAAATATAGTTCCTTAATAATCTATTTTGCTGAGTGCAGAATCTGCAGTGAATGAATTAGCTGAATTTTGAGGATTAAAAAGGAATCAAAATCTATTTCACAAGCAAGTAATGAAGCAGTCCTCACTTGCTTTGTAAATTACAGTTATATTTAGTAAGTATGTAGTAGAATTAGTCATAAACTAGTACTTAGCAATATGATTGTGAATGCATTAATGTTATGGGAGTTCGTTACCTCATAGCGGTGAATTAAATGGCGTTGTGTGATAAAAAACGTAAAAAGACTTTCTCCAAAAGACATCAAGAAAATAGTTGTACATGTTCTGTCTCATGTTTATCTCATGGTATTGAAGATTTCACCTTTTTAAATGAAAACAGCATATTGCAGTTTCTTATCACAAAACGGCAGCATTCCAAACTGTGTGTGGGTAGTTGCCCAGTTTTAAGGACATTTAATGAGAACTGCCCAGCTGAAAGTGTTTAGCAGGTTTGGAAGCACTGGCCTCATGCTTCATGCAGCTCTGTTCTTATCTTCTGTGAACATGTTGTCTCCTGGTGTCTCAACAGGAAGAATTCAGTCCCCTGAATAACAAAGACAGGCTGAGTGACAGCACAACAGGTGAAGTAAACAATAATCTTCATCCTTATTTTCAAATTTTGTAATATGAAAAATTGAAAAGCAGTCAGAAATCTGCTCTCTTTTTCCACTTAGAATGTGAGGCACAAAAACTATAGGGAGTAACTTTTTGTAATTTCGCTCGTGGGTCTCCACCAAAATCTCCCACTTCCGTAGGCAATTTTACACATTTTGGGGGAAAACACATCTAAGAATAGTTCTCCTCTTCACTGCACTAAATGGCCATAGAAATTAAAGGCTTAATTTGAAAAAGCAGTATATATAGCAAACTATGGGATCAATTCAGGTTTTGAATTTCTTGTTTTTTCTCCACAAGGTGCTGATAGTTTGTTGGATGTAAGTTCTGACACTGACCAGCAAGATCTACTCATGTTGATGCAAGCAAAAATCGCTTCTCTGACATTACACAATAAGGAGCTACAGGACAAATTACAGGTGTTGTATTTTTGTGTTGTTGYAGTCATCTGTTAGACTGTTAGTAGAACAGACAACTGCTTACCATTTTAAAGAGATGTACTGCRAAGAAAATTAAAGAACTTGTATTAGTAAAAATAAAAAATCATGGAAACACTCTGCTCCAGAGTATTAAATGAGTGTTTTGATCTCGCTTTCCCCATAAAATATTGAATATCTTTCTTTATTATGATAACCACATCCTTAAGCTTGTTGTTAACAGTTGTGTTAGCAGAATTTTAATTTGCATAGCTTTGATTATGAGCTTATGGAGGTCAGCCCAGGCTTTCAATKGAGCTTAGCATTTACTGCCTTCTTCGACTGTAGATGTCTCAATGGGAGCAACTGGATTCTGAGTTATTCTAAAAWATTATCCTATGGTGCTTTAATTGCTCTTCTCTGTCCAGTGTTGYGAGAGTTCCTTGCTTATTTCTCTTGAAACGATTATGATCATACAYTTATACATGTATCATGCATATATGCATACATTTATACATATCTCATGCAATTGTTTGGGTTTCTTTTTATACAGGAAAGAAYGCCTAAAGAAGCAGATTCTACCATAGATTCTTTTCATTCAACCCAAACAGAGTTTGACCAAACAGCAGATAGGCAAAGTGAGCTTTCAGCTCAGGAGCTGAAGTCTTCATTAAATGCCACCCAAATTCAAGAAAAGCCAGCAAGCCCCAGTGAAATAAAAATAAAATACCTCCAGGAAGATTTAAAGGATGTGCAGRGGAAATTAGAGACCTCTGAAGCCAAAAGAAGGCACTTAGAGGCTCAGGTCCAGTCTAGAGTCCCAGACACAGATCATTTAAATAGCACGGGCATTTCAGAAAATGGCTCTGATCTTAACCTAAAGCTCCAAGAAACTCAGAGCAGGTATGAGGAAGCAGTGAACGAGGTTTTGAATGTACAAAGGCAAATGAAACTGGGTCTTGCTTCTTCTGAAAGTGAAGAAATGAGTTCTGACCTGAGTAGGTTGAAGGTTACATGCGAAGAATTTGAAATGCTTAAGCAAGAGTTGAAGAGAGCTTTGGAGGAAAATGAAAGACAAAAAGAGAAAGTGAGAGAGCTGCAGAAAAAGTTTGAAGAAAGAGAGCAGAATGTGCCAATGTCTGTAGAAGAATGTGAGGAGATAAAGAATACATATTGTTCAGTTATTGACAACATTAACCAGGAGAAGGCGTTGTTGATTGAGAGATATAAAGAAGGGCAAGAGGAAATTAAAAGGCTGCAGGATAAGCTGGCAAATCAGACACGGTTGGAATCTAGTGCCGAAGCTGGAGAAAAGAAGGAGGCCATGAGCAAAATGGTAGATGAGCTCAACAGACAACTTAGTGAGTTATCTGAGTTGTACAAAGAAGCACAAACAGAACTCGAAGATTATAAGAAGAGAAAAACTCTAGATGATATAGCTTTGGAYTACATTCCTAGAGAAGAGCATGAGAAACTGATGCAGATAACAAATTCTTTGAAATACAAAGCTGAGAATGAGTTATCAGAAATGAAATCACAGTACACAAAAGTACTAGATGAAGCAGAAGAGCTAAAGCAACTGATAGACACTCAGAAACAGAACTCCATGCCAATTACTGAACACCATCAAATGATAAATGCACTCAGAATTACTTTAAAGGAAATGGAGGAAGAAGTAAATGAGCTCAAAGGACTAGTTACCAGCAAGGAAAATGAAGTAAGACACCTGCAGAAGGAACTGCTGGAAGAAAAAGCTGCAATTAATGAAGCAATGGTACCCAGGTCTACCTATGAAAAACTCCAGTCTTCATTAGAAGGCGAAGTTAGTGTTTTGTCATCCAAACTGAAGGAGGTAATCAAGGAGAAGGAAAATGTGTCCTTAGATGTCATACAGCTGAGAAATGAAGTTCTGCATTTGAAAGGAGAGAAGGAAGGATTGCATACTCTACTTGCAGCAAAGGATCGGGAGGTAACTGGACTTCAGCAAAAGTACCATCAAGCTCAAGAGGAGCTTCTTGAAATGAAAAGCTCGTCAAAAACAGAAGAGGATAAAGATAAAAAGGTTAGTGTTTCCCTACAGAAGAGTCATATGTGAATTCAGACTGCAAGACAATTTGGATGGTGAATAGGTCACATAATGCACCATATTGGGTGAAATGCCAGAGAATGAAGTAATTTTTGAGTTTGTTTGCCCCTCTAACAATTCAGATGCCATAGTCCTGTCTTTCACTTCTTAAAACCAAGGATTTTATTCAGCATATTTGACTTTATGCTTGCTTTCCTCTCTGGTAGAGATATATATGATCTTTCATTTTTTCTCTTTTAAAATCAGCTCAGTTTGGTTTCACAGTATTCAGGCAACTGAGGATTTACAGCACGGGGAGGTTCATAAGGAGACAGGTAAAAATAAAGAATTAGAAAGGCGCAAAAATTCACCCTTCTGGGTTTACTAAAGCACCTCAACATCTGCCTGCAAGTCTGTTAATACAAATTTCATTTAGAAAAGCTGTGTATTGTGGTGGCTGTGTTGAACTGACCTAGATTTGTCATGTTCATCCTGTGTTCAGAACCAGTGCCAGTAAATACAATCCTTGTTTGTAAACAGAGATGGCTTCAGAACACAGAATCCACTTTGAATGACAGGGCTAGGGGCAGAGTGGAAAGCGGGCAGCAAAGACCTGTGCTGGGAGGGAGCGATCAGGATGTCTTTGGGCCAGGAATTTCCTTCATTRGTGTGGGAGGTGCCAGGATTTTCCTTCATTAGTGGGAGGTGCAGTTTACCTCCAGACCTGTGAGCTGCTGCTTGGGGAGAAGTGTGAGGCCTGCCTTCTAGGTTGGAGGAAGGCTCTGCAGAGCCAGGATTGTTCCTGTGCATCTCTTGAGTGAATGGTGGATTGCAGTAGGGGAAGAGGAGCACTGTAACCCTTTTCTCACATAATGCCCTTGCTTGGTCACTGAGTTTYCATATTTTTTTCTTTTCCCACTCTCAGAGATAAGTCACAAATTGCCCCAGATGACACCTGCRAGAGGGAATACAGTGTGTCTTATAGCTTCTCATGAGAACCCGTTTTTCCCCTCCCTAGATCAATGAGATGTCCAAGGAGATTACCAAGTTAAAAGAAGCATTGAACAGCCTTTCCCAGCTTTCCTACTCCACCAGTGCCCCCAAAAGACAAAGCCAGCAGCTGGAGGCCTTGCAGCAACAAGTGAAGCAGTTGCAAAACCAACTCGCTGTAAGTGTCGTCATTCATAAARCCACCGTTATTCCCAGTTCTTGTGAGAGATGCAGGGCTTTCCTGACTGCACCCTTTTTTAAACTTGAGCGATTCCAAGCAAAGGAAGTTTTATCCAGAAAAATTCTGTTATTTCAGAATTGTTGTTAAGAAATAAGKTTTAACTGAAGAAAGATACTGTCCCCAATGTATTCCTTCAGATCAGYAGTTAATGTTAATGTACTTGAGGGAGAGTGTGGTGGCCAGACCTACTGCAGGGTCCCAGATTGGTGAAATATACAGCCAGTGGCTTTGTGGATACAGTGAATACAAGCATTGGATTTGTATGTTTTTCTCAGAAACACGTAGATTTAATCATAAACTAAAGGGTTTTTTTTGTTTGTTTCTTAAACAAAAATAATTTTGACTTCTTGAAAGAAAATAGACATTGAAGGCATGAAATGTCAAGTWAAACAGGTCCATCTGTTTTAGAGGAAGCACAGTTTATTCTCTGGATTTCTAAACTGCATAGTGTTCTAAGCTAGTTGTTTATGCATAAAAGGCCCAGTCTTTTAAGTAGGGCTCAGCCATAATAGCTATTTGCAAGAGCTTGCCTGTCTAAAGAAGCATTTTAATGCACTGCAGAAGGTGAAAAGGAGGTACTTCCCACCAGGAGCCTTTGTTGAGAGCTCTTGAGTTACTCTGAAAGGAAAATTCCCAGCCTCGTGTGCTGAATGGCTTTCATGGTGTCTGCTTTCCTCCCCTCCCCAACAGACAAAGGATTTAATGGTCATACAGGCCAGTAAAATTCCCTTGCAAGTGGRAGGAAAGAAACAAATAAGTAGTAGACAGTTAAAGACTGTGTCCTGCTGGTGTAAAGCCCATGGCTTTTTCTTGTGCCAATCCACAAATTGTATAAGGTGCCTCCAGCTCCTGCTGCTCAAGGACAGGCAAAATGGTGTGAAATGCAAAGCCATRCAGGGTGTTAGCAAAGTGGGTAGGATTTACACCAGGAGTGTTCAGTTCTTTCCTTTTGCTACGCTAGCTTTCCAGCCAGCTTTGTGTCTGTGCAGAGAGGTGGCTTTCCAGAATGGCAGGCTGTGATACAGGAAAGGAAGTTGCCCTCCCTTGTTTGAATGTGTAGTTATTAGTCAAAGATGTAGTGATGAAGACTTGCACGTTCCCTGCACTGGGTTTCTGCCATAGTGTTGAGTTCCTTCCATGTTTTTGCAGCCCGGTGCTTCCTATAGTCCATGTCAGCTCGGTGTCTGGTTTCCTAGGATGGGTAGAATTACAAGATTTCAGTGTGCTAGGCTTCCCAACAGACTGTGTTTGGGATGGCCAGAAACACAGCACTGTCTTTGAGCTGGTTCTCTGTATGTGCATAACAGACACATTTTATCCCTTGCAGTTTCCGTGGGCTCCTTAAATCTAGTTGTAGTGTTTTGAAGTGAGTGATTCTGAATGCTCCATGACTTTCTGCTTAACTATTTTCTAGGAAACGAAGAAACAACATCAGGAAATTGTCTCAGTTTACCGGATGCATCTTCTCTATGCCGTGCAGGTATGACTCTGTTGTCAGATAGGCAGTATTGATGTTGTAGTCAAATATGTTTCATCTGCAGATATTAAGACTATCCCTTGATAGTGTGACTATTTAAGCATAAATTTAAAGCAACTTTCCCTTGGGAAACTACTATACTAATATACCTTAAAAAGAGTAAATCTTTTTAAGGAGTAGAGAGATGTTTGAATTTAATTCTTTTTTTCKTTCTTCCCTTGTCTAGGGTCAAATGGATGAAGATGTCCAGAAAGTGCTTAAACAAATCTTATCAATGTGCAAAAGCCAATCACAGAAAAAGTAAACAAAAAACAAACAGAACTCCCCATTTTTATTAATCCCGATATGGGTGTTTATCTAGATTTGCCTTAATGTAAGATTTACAATGGCAATTTGCTGCTTTTTCTTTTTGTTGTGCTGTTTGCAAGGTGGATTTATCTCTCTCTACCACTTTCCATGTGCATTTGCATGTGCAATAACAAAGACATGCCTGCTTTTTGTATCCACATTACAAGTATCTTCTTCAAACTTGTTACCTAGGCCACTCCATGTCATGTTGATCCTGAAAGTACTTTGTAGCTTCCTCCAAGAGAGGAAGGCTAATCTGGATGCAAGCACTCATATCGTCTGGGTAAAGGTGAAATTCTCCATGAGGTCTCCTGTATTATTTATAAACTGCATCTTATTACTGGGGAGTTTGTTAGGTGTTGTGGGACTCAGATTCCTGACATTTTGCTATATTCAGTCTTTGGCAGAGCAGAGTTTGGGCAGCCTTGCAGCAGTGAGCAGAGGTAGATGCTTATGGTGAGCCAGAACATCAAGCAGCTACACGTTATATTATTTAAGATTAGTAAGGTAGCTGTCCCAGTCCATCCAATGCACTGAGTATGCAGAATCATACCATGCTTCATAGTTTCCCTGAACTGCCTGTAGCAGAACCGAACTATTTCACAAGGTAAAATCATTAGTTTATCAAAGTTCTGTACAAAGCAGTACAGAAAAGTTTGTAAAAAAACCACCCTTTCTGATAGGTTTAGCTATCTATGCAAGTGTTGGCCATGAAGCTCAGGAACAAAACCAGAACATATACTTCAGACAAGGGATTCTAGTGAACACAGGATGTTTACAGTGAACGTCAATGCCTCGAACTTCCTAACCTCACTTTTGTAAAGATCTCCTCTTCAGTATATTTTTATCGGCCCTCTAATGAATTCTTTTGTAACTAAACCATTTTTTCTACATAATATTTGCATTAAGCTTATTAACAAATATTTTTAGGTAACTATGTTTTAGAGAGTTTCTTTTTATACCCCAAGTATTTGGTAATAGTGAAGCATAGTGAAGTGCTTTCGGCTTGAAAAACTCTGTACCGAATAATAGATCTGTCTGTCAACATGGCCCAGGGCAGTGAAGTGCAAAATACAATTCAGCCCTCTGTTTCCGCATGTATAGAAATGATTGGTAGAGAACAACAAAAGGTGTCAAAAATTTCTGCGTGTTCCTTCTAGAGGCCATGGGCATCGATAGAGCCTTTGTCAGCGCTTTAAAATTTAAAGGTCGAAAAAGAAATGCGTGATGTGGTTTAGTATAAAACTGTGGGAGAATATTTCTAAATACATGCTGCACTTGAGGGTACAACCRTTCTAACCAGCTTGTAGCTTCACTATGTTATTTGTTTCATTCCTGTTAGCAAATATGTCTCTAATAGAGAAATCTCCAGGGCTATGTAATCTATGAAGTTTGTATAGAGTCATAATATGACAAGAGTCAGCGGTGCCTCGGGCTGACTGGACTCATAGTGCACTTAGATAATTCCTAACCCTGGAAAAACTGAAATGGATTTTAAAAATGTAAACAAGAAATATGTCTTTGCCTCAGTTAGACTTTGGTGTTACTTTTCCTGGGTGGTTTAACTAATGCCTGCTAATTATGAACAGTATTTTATAGTTAGATGGTTTTGAAAATGCTCCAAAGAAATGTGAAAAGAATTTTGCTGCAGCACTTAAAACAACAAAATTGTAAGCATGCTAATGCTGCGAAGTATGAAACTTGATGAACCATTTTGTAGGTTGCCTGATGGATTTAGTCTTCTACTTTGTTTTGGTTTGTATATTTATTACAATTATATTTGTGGAATATTGAAAATTATACACTACAGCATAGCAAGTTTCTTTATATGTAATTTACAGGAAGTTTCCTTATGCAGCAAATAAACTATTTGCATTTTTTTCATCTGTGTTCTCTTTGTACATTCAATTTTGGTTTGCATGAAGGGAAGTCTTGTTCCGATGTTTTAGCGTGGCTCAAGTATGTTCTGTATCCTGTGTTCAGGTTACTACCTCAAGTGTAGGAAGTCTTTCTCCCCAAAATTGGAACTTGATTTTTAACTTCCTTGATCTAACAGCTAGAGTAGAACTGCTCTAAATCCTGTGTAACCAGTTTTGCAAATCATGCCATGTGTCTAGTAAGTCCAAGGCCATTTCTCAAGTGGACGTTTTGCTAGAAATAACGGAGTTTTCCATGTAGCAGGGGGTGCATTTCAGCGAAGTTTCAACCATCACAGTCCAGCACCATAGATGGGGTGGCCCCACGTTTCCCAGACCTGCAGCTCACCCCATGCACAGAGAACTGCAGTGAGAGTATCTATACATGTGTGTGTACATATCTATGTGCATGTATATACATATTTGTACTCCTCTCTAAAGCGTGAATTACTTATATAGTCCCATTGCCTTTTATCATCTCTCACTCCCCTGAGTTTTATTTTAAAAGCCAGTTTTTAGTCACTTGTTTGCTGAAGCTTTTCTGTTTCAGGGCAGAACACATTCCTGGCRGGAATTGCACCCCTTTCGGCAACATCCTGCCAGTCAGTAGCTTTTAGCCTCCTCTAAAAAGTTTCTGGAAGCTGCTCRGAATGGGATTTCTTTCAAAGATGGCTGTTGACAAACTGGTGTGGGAAATCTGTGCCTGGTGAGATCACCTGGTAGGGTAGAGCTGAGTCACTTCAAGTTGTGGGTTAAGGATTTTATCACTAGCAGTTGCTGATGGATTAATAAGACCACAGAATGGCTCTTTTGTGCCACCACAGGCATGGGCCTGCTGAGCTACTATCCCCTGTCTCAATTGCCATTTGTTTTCCATGTGGAGGGCTGCTTGCCAGCAATCCTGCAGCCGGGGGTATTTTGGGGGCAGACCATGGTGGTCCTGCCTTTTTACCTTCAAAGTTGGTTGCTGTTGCGTTCACATGGAACTGTGTCCTGGGCACTGCAAGTCTGGTAGACATTTAGTTCTGGTCTCCTGCACCAGAGACAGCAGCATGGGTGCTATCCTGGGCAGCATTTTTCACAGCTGCATTTCTTTATTTCCTAAGCATACAAGTACTGCGGAGGAACGATGCTCTCATCATTGAAGTCACTGTCAACAGTTCACACATAACAGAGTGTATTTGATCTGTTTGAACAAACAGAAACTCAGTTTGACCTTCCCCTTTTTACAAAGATATGTGAGAATAGTGATGAGTGGTGGCAGAAGACGAGAGGACTGAGATTCAGGAGGAGATATTATCCATTCAGATCAGTGCTGAAGATCACCTTTTTTCTTTGTTGTGCTGGAGAAAGTGTGAGTCCCTGTGAGCAGGTATTGCTCTCTTAGCCATCACAGATGTCTTTTGCCAGACAGGTAGGCATGAAAAAATGGACAAGGATGTGGTGCAGCAGTTTGGATGGATGCTGCATTGCCACAGGAAGATGTCCRTGGCCATGATATGCTGGTCTGAGAAGGTGAGTGAAGCCCCACGKGCCTCCTGCAGTCAGTGAAATGCTGGTGTGTGGTTTCCACCATAATCCAGCCCCCGTTTGCAGGCAAAATAGACAGTCTCYAGGCTACCTTCCCGTTGACCAGGACTTAGCATGTCTACTAGCTCTGCAAATTACTGTGCTTATTGCTGGACAGGCCAAACGTGGTAAGAAAGTCCGAACACTGGAGGATGTTGCTGTTTGCAGGTTCTTGTGGTGGCCTGCATGYGATGACCTGTAGCCAAAGCATGAGCTCAAGGTTCGCTGACCCTKCTGGGTGAGCCTGGCTGCCTAGACAAGTCCCACACTAGCAGAACAACATGATATTTTTTAGCTGGTTGTCCTTCTCCCTTCAGAAACCATCTGCTCTTCTTCCTTTGCCCTGGTAAGGAACTGATTGGTGTGTGCATATTCCTCATTACTGCTGTGGGTATTTCCCACTCACAGGTCCAAGGTGTCTTATGCAAGAAGATGAAAATGATCTTTAATCCCCATGCATATGCTTGTGGTAAGTTCTTATCTGCATAGTCTGTTTTCTTAAAAGCTGAACGCATCAGTAGTTGTCATTCCTCTGGAGCTGCCTTACCAAAGAAACAGGAGATTTGGGATGAAAAAAGGTGTTGCCAGACAGTTTCTTCAGGCCCCCCATGCATTGAGGTAAGGAGCAAGTAGTTCCCCAAGTTGGATATGCAGAGCGATTCCATGAAGGCAGAAAGGCCTGCTGGGCTTCCCTTCTGCCGTTCCTCAAGCTGTTCAACAAAGCGACGATGATGTCCTGCACATCAGCACAGGACAGCAAAGCCAAAGGAAGGCCAAGCTGCCATATGCTGTAGTAAACCGCAGCACAGTCCCGCAGGCGGAGCAACCAAGAGACCCAGCGGAAAAGCTGGCTGGGAATCACTTGGCAGATGCTGCATCACTGTGTGGAGCTGTAATGCAGCTTTAAAGCTCACATCACATTTTGTGAGTTTTCCAGAGCAGTGGATGTCTGCCTGGGGAGAGGAGGTAGATGGTGTGGGATTTCACTGCTGTGAGTGTTTCAGAGCTAAATAAAGCCTCGCTGCTGTGTGTGTGCCATGTGTAGGCTCTGAGAGCTGCCGGATGGGGCCTTTGGCATCGGGGATGTCAGCCTGGAGCGAGCAGGAAGAAGGATCTGCAGAGAGAGTGGAGACCCACTGGATACAAGAGGAGAGCTGCTGACAGGGGAGCGGGATGTGCAGGTCTCTCTGGCCTGTCTCCAGTCAGGGCCCGGCTCGTGCCAGGCCAACCAGGGCACCTTGGATCCTCCCCGCCAGTGGCAGCCTTCACGCAAGCAAGAGGCAGAGAAGGGCTGAAGGAAACTGACCTCGGATGCAGCAGAGACCCATGCACTGTGGGGGGGAATCGCCCGCCTAGGTGCTGCCGCCCGGGCTCCCTCGTGCGGGAGCTTGTGGCTCTCGTCCCGGAGACCTCGTGTGGTTTTGTCCCCCGAGGAGCCAGGCCCCGGCGTGGGGCTGCGAGGGCTCTCTGGCACGGAGCCTGCGGGGCGACTGCGCTGCAGGTCGCGGGGCTCCGGGAGGAGCCGCGTTGCCTTGAGGGGCTCAGYGCGGCAGCGGAGACAGACGTGATGTAACCGGCACAAATTCCACAGGCACAAGCATAACCCGGCCAATTCTTCCAACTTAACTGATGCAGAGTTTTCCTAGGCCAGAGCGGTGATTTAAATCCTCTATTTGCTGTGGTTTCGCTCAGCCACAGGGAGCACTAAAAGTGCTCTGGGTTTAATGTCAAGCCTCGGTTCAAAAGTTCGCCCGAGTACCTTGCGGCTCTCATTGACAGCAGGGCTGCCTAGTTCTCCTGCCTGGGCCCACGGGGTGGATTTGTGGATGCAAGCCAGCCCGCCATGAAATGTTCCACGGAAGGGAAGTTTCCAAATTATTTTCCAAATCCCTCCTAACTTCTCCCCTATTTGGATCATTTGCTGATCCGTTGGAAAAATAGTAACTGAGCTGATTTGAAAGAAAGTAGCAGAGATGCTGAATATAATAGAACCATGTTTTTTTTTTCTGAGAGCAGCAACAAACCATTTCCTTTTAACTAACATTAACTCCTTCAGCAGTGAAATCTTATACAGTGGTAAACTGCAGCTGAAGTAAGTTCCAGTTCTTATTTTAAGACATTTCTCCATGTTTGAAGAGGCCCAGGTTGTGATTCCAGCAGCCATAGGAAGCTGCTGCTGCTGACACTGTGGGTGGCCAGGGATGGAGAGCGTTGCTGCTTGTCACTGTGAGGGGTTTCCCATGTCACGGTGGCAGGTGACAGTGTGTTTGGGAGGAGGAGATGGCAGCAGGGTCACAAAGCCGCGTGTTGCCAACATAAGGATCCTCCGGAGGAGCATCTTGTCCCCCTGCAYGAGCGGAGGAGGCTGCTGCTTCTCATCCCCTCATGGCAGTGCCTGGCTGCACCGGTGGCTTCAGTGGGGTCTGCTTTGGCAGAGCTTGTGGCTCCTGCGGCGGGTTAAGGCAGCACATCTGTCACTGTGTGCAAACCCTTGGCTGCCCCACGGGCTCTCTGTTTAATGAGCTTCACACAGGTGTTTACAGAATCATCAGGTTTCAGTGTAATACTGTAAAAACCTGCCCGAATGCCGGTCTGCACACATTCGTGGTGTTGGCCCTCCTCGTGCATTTTCCAACAGCCTGAAATGCTCAGACGGTTGGTAATGGGGCCTCCTACCAGCAGCTGGAGATTGGAAACAGGCGTCACATCTCGGTGACTTCATCCCCTGCAAGGCGTGCGGGGCTGGATCCCGTCTTCCGGCATCCCGGCGGGCGCACATCTCCTCCTGGCCATGGAGAGAGGTATTCCTGAAGGAAGAGCACAGGGAGGAAGTGGGGAGCTGGATTAAGCCACACTTTCTGCTAGGTAAAGAACAAGGGAGGGACCTCACGCAAGCAGCGCTAGCAGAGCCCTTCCCGAAGCAGCGGCCGCCCAGCGCAGCTGGACAGGGGCTGCAGGGCCGGCTGCCAGGTCCCGTGCAGGGGATCCGGCCCGTGGGAGGGCAGCGAGCCGCGGGGCAGTGATTGGGGAGCCCCGGGGCAGTGATTGGGGAGCCCCAGGGCAGTGATCGGGGAGCCCCAGGGCAGTGTTGGGAGCTCCGGGGCAGAGCTCCTCGTGCCGAGCCCTGCGTCGCGCGCGAGGGACTCGCACCGAGGGCTGCCCCGCGCTGCCTCGCAGCTCTTTGCGTTGCTGCTGCGTGAAGTCACGTCAGTGCCCTGCTCACAGTGAAGGAGACGTTGGCAGAGTCTCCTTGGCAGATGCTTTGGCTAAGGGGC